CTCTCTTTAGTCAGGCTGGTCCTGTCCTTCCTGTACATTCATAAATAAGTCTACGAGACCCGGCTGTGAAATCTGCAGCACAGATCGACCCAATCCTCCCAATCACAGCAGCGTTCAACAGGTGATTCACTCACACCTACACCTGTTCACTGTGCTGGAACGCTCTGTGTGCTGATGATTATTCTGTTTCTGTTTTAGGAAAAAGCAAGAAGAGCAAACCAGTGAAACTCAGCATACCAAGATATTTTGGACAATGCTTTGCTCTAGCTTTATGGGATCAGTTTGAGGAAGGTTCTCTTCTATTCCAGCATGACTTTGCCTCAGTGCACAAAGCAAGGTCCAGAAAGACATGGCTGGATGAGTCTGGTGTGGATGAACACAACAGATCACAAATGCACAACTGGATGAATAAGCAAAAATGCTTGTTTGAGACATGACTCCAAATGGGATGTTAATTCTGTAGATGATTTTCATTCCTCTCCTGTGGTGAGAAGTTGAGCATGGAATAGTCATCTATTTATCCCAAAATATCTTTGTTAATGTCTCAAGGAGCACGACCCACTCTTGGGACTTTGCTCCTATAAGCAAAATTTCCATATAGGACCAACGATTCAGGTTTAATAACTAAACACGTGATAAGGACTGGTTTTGAACATTCAGCTAACTGTGAAGACCTTGAATTCAACTGGTCCATCAGACCAGGAAAGTCGACTAACCAAGTGAATTAGACAACACAGAAAATACTCACAATTCAAGATCCTAACACTGTTAAACAACAATGTCCTTCCTGAAAGAGATCAGCCCGTTGGTGAAGAACAGTTTTCTCTCTGGAATTGATGTTTTATCGAGGCGCGCGGCACAGATCACAGCTGAAATACAACAGGTGTGGTATTACTTTGATAATAGTCTCTCATCTTTTATAGCATTAATATAGTATTTTGGTGCAAATTAATCTAACTCTAGGCAGCATGGATAGATTGGTGGCATGCCCTTATTTGTGGAAAACCTGTTGCCTTTTCATTTCATTTACTTTAATTTTATATTAATTTATGTAGATTTTTTTTCTTGTATCATATTGGAATTAGATAACCAATTCAAAATCTGGATCCTGAAGTAAAACCAGCCGAGAATCAAAGATTAACTGAACTGCCTCTTATTCTGAATCTTATTTTTAAGCAGTAGTCTGATTTTATGGTTACACGGGGAAACATTAATTCCTTTTGTGATTTTTATGTCAATTGATTTTAGGATGAGAGAAGAAACTATAACGAGGTGCTTGATTTGTCTTCTGGAGATCTGCACAGAGGAGGAATAAAACCCATCACCTTTGTTCGTCAAGTGGGTAGAAGCTTTATTTATATCAGTCAGAGAACAGAAATAACACATCGAAAAAAATTGTTTAAAATAATTTATTAAAAATGAAAATATCAATTATTAATCATTATTACTAATATGACTCACTGTTACCGATTTATCATGCAGCTCAAAGCATTATGGGTAGAATCTCTCGTCAGTCTATTCTGATTCATCAACACAGTTTCACTGCTGTAGAAGCCTGCACTGTGATCCACAAACACTCCTATTCTGCTGCTGATGGACTTCACAGAGAGAGCAGAGAGAGCAGTATTGTGTCTGAATGAGTAACTGGATTTAGAGCAGCGCAAACTCCAGGACTGATCATTATATCCAAACACACACTCAGCACCTCCTCCCTTCCTGCTGATGCTCTTATATGACACTGATATAAACACACCTCCACTCCACTGCAGCTCCCAGTAACAGCGTCCACACACACTCTCTACACAACACCTGAGGATACTCATCAAATCTGTCTGGATGATCAGGATACGACTGTTTCTCTTCCACATGT